ACTTGACATTGTCTCTTGAGGTGAAGCAGGAGATGCACCACACAGCCTGTTCTACATTCTTCCCAAAAAGTATGATCCGAATCTACTAAGAAAACAAACATAAAATCCAGGATATGGGAAATTACACAACTAACTTGGATACCTCAAAAAGTTCAATGTCATGAAAAAAAAGAGGGGCAAGGGGGAAAAAACTATTCCAGATTAAGAAAAGAGGTATAACCAAACATACACATGAACCTTGATTATGTCTTGGATGAGAGAGAAAAGTTTTAAGACATTTTGGAACAATAGGGACAACTTATTCCATACAAATGATCATATTAGATATTACTGAGTTATTGTTAATCACCTCAGGTGTGGCAATGGCATTGTGGTTTTATGTAGAATATTCTTATTCCAAGGAGACAAATGCGTAAGTACTCAGGGATGACTGTCACAACTCTCGGTCAAACAAATTAAATAGCTAAAGTGCATGTCATAAAATGTTCGCAGTTGGCGACCTAGGGAAAGGTTATACTATTTACTACTCTTTCACTTTTTTACATATGTAAAAAAAATGTTCAAATACAAAGCCTTTTATATTCTTAAAATTCAACAAGTCATTAGCATACATTCAACTCTTCTATAAACATGACATCTGAAAATACAAAATTGTAATCAATCTGTGAATTAACTTTTAGTACCCTCCTACTTACATACTAATGACCACTAGGCTAGATTCTGGGAGCTATAGGGGTGAAAAAAGAAATGGTCCTGCTTTCATGGAAACTACCTAGCATATAATTATTTGTTGGGTGGGGCAGTGGTTATTCTGGAAGCCTTCCCTAACCCTGAACTGAAACATGAAGAAGTAGGTGTTGCCAAGCTGTAAGATGATAAAGAAATGGGTCAGAGGTGTGAAGGCCCTAATGATAGAGCTGGTCAATCTGGAGAGTGATAGAATACTTATTCCTGGAGTTTTCGCCAATCTCCCACCCTTTTTGCATAGCTTTTCCCCTGGTTCCATTCATGTTCCCCTCAAATATTCAGACGTAGGGGTAGTAATAGCAGCTAAGTAAATACTCCCAGCCCCAATGTTTCCAGTTCTAGGAACTACTCTACCCTGGGGTTTCCCTGCACCCTGTGCACAGACTTGTAAAGTCCCCTTATTAAAACTCCCTTCAAATTATCCAGTTTCAGTAAGCCATCTATTTCTGCCAGTACCCTGCTAGATAACAAGCTCTGGAGAGAGACTTGGGAGACACCTGCGTATTTTGGACGGTACCAGGACAGCGGGCATGGAGATGGTCCAGGAGGAGGCTGAAGGTGAACCCTGGGCCAGTGGGCATCTGAAGTAGGAAACCCTGGAAACTGCAATGTTACCAGCCGAGAATATTTCACGGAACTATCAATGGGATCAAGTGCTGTTGGATTTCCCTTTGAGAAAGCCACAAGGGTCCCTGGGGCGGTGGGGGCGGAACCAACATTGCAGTGGATTGTAAAGGTGGTTGGAGGCAAAAAAAGAAAAAAAGAAGAAACCCAACAACACACATCTGTTACCTTCAAAAAGAAAGAAAGAAAAAAGACATAATTGTTCAGGTTCCTATTTTAACTCTACCAGTGACTTGTTACAGAATTTTAAGACTTTTTGAACCTTTAATTTTTGAGAGTTAAGTATAAGCTTAAAACAGCCACTCTTCCATGCAGTTACAGAAAAACAATACCTGCAGTGTTAAAGCTAATGTAAGTTACAGCAGTGTGGAGCGTGTAAGTTCTAAAACAGTACATTATACTCCCACCCCACCCCCTTCAGACACTGAGAAAAAGGGCAGGCTTTGCCAAAATCTTTTGTCTCCCTACAGTGAAAGACTAAGCTCTTTTATATGAAGGCTGCAACTTAGTATATCCAAGACCCCCCATGCATGGTACAATAAGCAGTTTCTAACTAGGATGCAAGATATTTGAAACCTAAAGCATTCTCATGATCACAATGAGTAACCAAACTCCAGCACTGGAGAAATTGTTAGAACCCTTAGATCCCTTTCTTTGAGAACATGAGCCTGTGAAATTATCTATCTTTGATCCAATTTAGCTTTCTCCTCCCTCCGCAGTTCACTGAACATCACACAGGAACGATCGCCAGAGCACAATGCTAAATCTGAGGCATCAGGAAACTGTCCTACGGACACTGGATCAGCAGGCTCCGGGGATCTTCCATTTCTCCCAGCAGAGTATGGTTTATTCTGGCCGCCTTCATTTATTTTTAAACTACCCAGTTGTTTCACTAAACCTCCTACAGACTATTTTCTCTACAAAAAGAAAGCATTTATTAAGGACTTTCAACATCAAAATTTGCTTAACTGATTTAGACTCAGCTCAACCTCTCTCCAATGGTGAAACTTGCCCCTCATTTTCAGCCTTCAGAAGAGACCCAGGTAACTACCTCCCGATGCCGGGCAAGGAGGCACCCACACTTACTGCCACAGCAGGGACAGGTTCGGTGTGGGGAGCAAGGCTTTGGAACCAAGAAAGCTGTTAAGTTACATGACCTCCTGCACATCCACTCACCTACAAACAGGGTTGCTTTCTTTTTTTTTCTTTTTTACTGTACAATGTTGTTTAAACACTGTTTAAACATGCCCGACCCATGGTAAGTGTTTGATAATGGGGAAGCTTTTCCTTTTTCCTTGCTACACAAAGTGCTTGTATTGTAGGTTAAAAAGGCCCAATTTCAAGTTATTCAGTTCGAAAAAAATGAGGTGCTGTGGCAGACAAAACTCTGTGTCCATGTGATACCCACACCCTACCTACCTCTGTGTTCATTGTGATTCATTCCACTTGAATGTGGTCTGTACCTGAGAAGACAGTCCCACTTGCCGACTAGCTCTGGAGGCCTACTAGCTTGATGCACTACATGGCCATGTTGGAAGATAGCAAATGAGTCAAGGAACTGAGGGGGCCCTTCACTCACGAAGAAGTCCGCGCTTGCCCTGGCTAGTGTGTCTCAGGGGGGTGAGCGCTGGCCTGTGAACTGAAAGGTCACTAGTTCCAGTCCCCCATCCCTCCTATTCCTGGTCAGGGCACATGCCTGGGTTGTGGGCCAGGTCCCCAGTTGGGGGCGTGTGAGAGGCAACTGACCAAAGTTTCTCTCATTTCGATGTTTCGCTCCCTTTCTCCCTCTCTTCCCCTCTCTCTAAACAATAAATACAATCTTTAAAAATAAATAATAAAACAAAAAAGTAATAAAGAAGTCTGAGCTCTCCACCCTACAGCCACAGGAAGTGAATTCTGCAAACAACCTGAGTGTGGAAGTGGAGTTTTCCCAAGTCACCTGGTGAGACTGCAACCAGCTGACACCATGTTGCAGCCTATGAGACCCTGAGCAAAGGACCCAGCTATGCTGTGCCTAGAAAGAAACTGAGATAAACCTCCTTCAATCCACTACGTGTGTGGTAATTTATTACACAGCAATAGAAAATAGTCATCTTTCCACTGTTCTAGGTTAATTTAGTAACGTCACAGTAACTAGACCAATTAATAGCTGGCAAAATTACCTAATTACCCTAAAGCAATTTTAAACCCTAATAGCATAAAAAGTTTGATCCGCACGATTCACCTTTCCCAGCTAATCAACAATCTGTTCTTGCCCTGGCTGGGTAGTAGCTCAGTTGGTTAGAGCATTGTCCAGATACGCCAAGGTTGTGGGTTCAATTCCTAGTCAGGGCACACATAAGAATCAACCAATGAAGCATTAAGTGGAACAATAAATTAAAAAATTTTTTAGACCACAGCAATCTGTTTTTGAAATGTTGATATGGGGTGTACCTATTTGGATTCTTCATAATTCTGTGAAGTAATTCTGTAAATTATTTTACGTAAGTTTGGAGGCTCACAAAGGCCAAGTGACTCAAATGGCTAAAAAGGGGCAGAGCCAGGAACTACAAAACCTGGGTCTGACCACAATACCAAAATGCACCTGTCCCTATAACCAATTTTTATAGTTTTCCCTAGTCTCCATGATGCTTTCCACTATGTTCACAGAAAATAAAGCCAGATCAAAAACATTAAACAATGGATGGATAAAGATGTGGTATATATACACAATGGAATATAAGGCAGCAATTTAAAAAAAGATGAAATCTTGCCATTTGCAACAATGTGGATGGATGTAGAGGGTATTATGCTAAGTGAGGTTAAGTCAGAAAAAAACAAGTATCGTCTGGTTTTACTGGTATGTGGAATCTAAAAAACCAACCAACCAAAACAAACAAAACAAAAACAGACTCAGAAATAGAGACCTAAGGGATGGTTACCAGAGGGGAAAGGGTGGGGAAATGGGTAAAAAAGGTGAAGGGGAATATAGTCAATATTATTGCGGTAAGTTTGCATAGTTGACAGCTGTTTACTAGAATGGAGTGATTGCATTGTAAGCTGTAAAAGTGTACACTACCCTGTACACCTGGAACTAATACAGCTGATGTAGTATTATATACCAACTATACTTAAACAAACAAACAAAAATAACACTGGAAACATTTTGTTCTTAATTGTTAAAATAATCTTATCCACTAGGTTAATCATTGTGTATAACAATTAAAATGTGCTTTTAAGTCTTTGTTTCTCAGTAAAGAGGACTTTTTTCCTTCATGGCTTGCTATACTAAGAGCTTAAATTCACATCGCTGAAGACCAAAAATGTTATTTATTCTTACCTAAGAACACTTTTCAAACAAAGCCACAAAACAGCTTCTTTTATTTTCTAATAAGACTAAATTTATTCAATAACCTAGTAAAAGTTTTGATTATAACAGTATAAAAAGTACAAAACAGACTCGTAGATTTCTAATATATTAATACAAAGTGCATGACTACATACAGTACATCCTACAGGCAAAGAGAGGTGGAAGGGGAAAAAGAAGACTGTGGTTGAGGTCTAGTAATAAATAAATAAATACAGAAGTAGAGATGATCCATATTATAGTATATTCTACCACCAATACTGCAGCCAAAATGTACAAAAAAAAAAAAAAAAAAAAAAGGAACCATTTCAAAATACCTCAGGAAGATGAGAACATGGCTGAGACTCTTGTCATACACCTTAAAGGCTGTGGGAGAGCTGACCCAACTCACTGTTGAGTCTGTACACACGGTGGCTTGTAGTTTCTTCCAAAAGGAATATAAAATTTTAAGTTTAGATTAAAAACTATAAAACTACAGGGTGCCCATAAAAAGTGGCTCACTCCTTTATTGTTATTTATACTATCCAATTTTTTAAATCCAACTTTAAAAATAAGCACTGAGTCATTTCATTATAAGGTAGGCAAATGATCCTTCCTTGTTAGTAAAAGTGTGAACTGGTACTATATTTCATGAACTTTTGAGAAAAGAGGCAATGAACATACTTTGGTTTGGGTTCCAGTAGCAGGCTTTTAATAAAGATCTTAGAATTGAAGGGCCTCACGTTCAGGATTTATCATCTAACATCTCAGTGTTCAGAAAGCTTGACTAAAAGAAGCCAAACCAAAACGAACCCACTCAGCATTAACACACCTCTTTCTTTTATTAGAATTTTACTTTAACATAGTGAAAAAAACCCCAAAGCCCTAATAGATTAGAAGTTGAACACTCTACACAGAAAAAACCTTCACAAAGGTCAACTGAAGTAATCCAGAGCTAAAACTGAATTGTGGAGATTTTCAATGAAGTCACCAGTCATGTAACAAACAAAAGTCAATTATTTACACACTCGGCAAGCCCTCTAAGAAATGTGCCCCAAGAAGCATTATTCTTTGTTATTTTTATGCCATCCCACAGGCTTGCACATTTTATTCTTCAGGTAATTTAACATTTTTAATAGAGTGTGTTCTCTATCATGTGGTAAAGCTTTGGTACTATTCATGTAAGACTATTCATCCTAAAGACTTGACATTTCCCCAAGAGGAGCTTTGATTCTGCTTTAGAAGTTTCATATAAATTAAAATCTTCATCAAATATCAGTATGAGGGAGGTGACACAGGATACAACATATACAGTCCAGTTACCTCTTTGTATAATTAGAAATTACTCCTTCAAGGTATTTGCAGAGAGCTAGTCTGTCCTGCTTAATATTCAGTAGTATAGGTTTGAATCATCAGAACCTTGGCCAGACCTTAATATTTCAAAATTATTAACAACTACCTCTAGGGGCAAGTCCAGGTTACTGAGTTATGACAAATTTATTATCATGAAGAAACTAAGTGTAGTCAGCTGTCTTTAAAAATGCCCCAACCACTGCTTCTCAATATAGAAAGACTAAAACTACGTACGTTTATCATACAACAAATCCCATCTCAGTCCCCTGAAATTCCCCTAGTTTCATTCATTAGAAGGGGATTTAAAAGAAAAAGACTTAAAGAGCACTTTACAGCAGCATTCAGCTTTCCTATGAAATACTCAGCATCTTAAATATTATGTACATGTCTTTTTTTTAGTTAGCTAGACACTGGCTTCATAGTTTGTGGAGCTTGTAAAGATGAAGGAAAAATAACCCATTCAGAACTATTCTAGAAATTGTCTTTTGGCAGAATAGCAGGTAACCAAGGTAAAAATAGGAGGGTCATTTTGTCACTGTGGGTTTTTTTCCCCCTAAAATGTAAATCATTTTTTGTTCCCCTTCTACATAACCCTCAGTCACCACTCCTGAGTGGAGATGGGCAGAGGCTCCGGCCCCTGCTCCTCCGGCTTCTCGGCAGCTGCCTTCTTATTGCTGCAGCAAGGCTTGAAGAGGTGTGTGTCAATGAGGACCTCCCCAAAACGGCCTTTATAGATAATCCCACAACATATTTTCTGTCTAAAAGAAAAAAATGGAGAGAATATGTTAATAAGGCAGAAAAATGGAAACTCAGCAAGAAAAAAAAAGAAATCTAGTCAACATATAGCTAGTACAACATGATCAAAGGTCTACTTCCAGTCTCATCACAGGACAAATGAAAAGGTTTCCAGAATAAAACCCAACCGGCTAGGTTGAGGGAATTGGCCAGGTCTCTTAAATCCCACACTGAAATCGTATCAAATATTAAGTGGAAAGAAAGCATTTTGAGAGACAGCAGTCCATTTCAGAAGCTGCTCCCAAAGTTACAAACTGGTTCCTCCAAAAATCACCAACCCCTGAAGTTCCCCTGTACGGCTGTCTCCAACTCCATCCCGCCCCATCTCTTTCTGTCCTCCTGATCTTAGGTTTAGTACTCTCTTCTTACACTTCATGGTTTTACAATGTTTGCATCTCTCAACATATTACTTAGTTATCTCATATATAAAATCAGATGTACAAGGTCGGGGCAAAAGCAGGTTTACAGTTGTTCATATGGAAAGTGATACAATAATTAATAAATAATAATACAAGAGTAAACTGTTTTTGTGTACTCAACTGGAAACCTACTTTTTCTCACCCAGTATATCAGATTACACTGATTTTATGCACAGTATTTATGGAATATAGAAATATAAAATCACACGGTATGCTGTAATTTTTAATCTTAGTATTAACTAAGATTCATACATGTTGTTAATGCTTTATTTCATTTTAACTTAGGTACAGTGTTCCACCATGTGAATATACCACAATTTACCCGTTCTCCTATTGACAGGACAATTTTTTGTTATTACAAACATGCTGTACATATCAGTGCATATATCTAATAAAGGTTTTTTCTAGGTTACGTTGTTGGGATATAGGAATGGGAACATGTCCAACTTTATCTGAAAATGCCATTTATCAGTGTGGTCTCCCATTCCTATTCTGCTACAGGTTTTATTTTAAATGTTGAAGGAATGTTCAAATTTATCAAACATCTTCACTAAGATGATAGGCATGTTTCCCCCTCATTCAGAGACTGTCAGTGTAGCAAATTATATTAGCTAATTTTCCAATATTTAAACCAATCTTATATCCCTAGAATAATTTAATCTGGTCATGATACACTGTTTTGATACCAGAGCTGTTAGATTCACAGAATGTGTGGGGCCTGTGCCCCCTTCTATCTACAATCTGAAAAGCCAGAGAAAGATCGGAATCATTTGCTCCTGAAGTGTTTGGTAGAATTTGTCTATTTGGGCCTGGGATTTTTTGAGGGAAGACTTTTTAACCACTGAATTAATTTCTTTATTATGAGAATAGTCAGGTTTTCTATTTTTTTTCTTGAGACAGTTTTAGTAAACTGTCTTTTTATATTAATGTATGCACTTCATACAACATGTTCAAATTTATTGGCATGAAGTTGTTTATAATATCCTATTGTCTTTTAAATGTTTTAGTTATATAGCTAACTCTCCCTTTTCTTACCTAAAATGCTTGTGTGTACCATCTCTTTTTCTTGATCTGCTTTATCTTTCGTAATTTTTTTGATTTTTTTTCAAGAACCAATTCTTAGCTTTACTGATCCTTTCCACAGCATATTGGTTTTCTACTCCATTTATTTCTACTTGTTATCTTCAGGATTTCCTTGCTTTTATTTTTCCTTATACTGGGCTTCATTAACCTTTAAACTAGAAAAAATATAACTTCATTCACTTTTAGTCTTTCATTTATAAGAAGCATTAGGGTGATACCTTTTCCTCTTTTCAGTTATGTTTTAGTTATGAAGATTTTCTAATTTATAGTATACTTTCTTCTTGGACCCATGGTTTTTTTAATTTACAACTATTAAAATTATGTTTCTATTATTCTATTTTGCAATTATTAAATTATCTGCCCTTCCCTTCTGCTCTGGAGGTTTTGTACTTATTTTTATTAATTCTTATAGTGCTTACATAGTTAATTAAGTTCTAAAGTTATTCAATGTGTTTATCCTCAATAATGCAAAGGACAGTTATACACTTTAACTCATATTATACACTTTAACTCCTTGGCTTATGTTATTGCTGTCATATAATTCCTTTTTTTTTTAAATCCCACAACTACTGTCATTTTAAGCAACTGGTATTTGTTTAAATTTACCTAAATATTTGCCACTTTATTTTTACTTCTCAGAATCAACCTGGGATCTCTTTTTTCTGCTTGCCCTGCAGCAGAATTTCATTATTGAGGGTCAACTTGGCAGCCATTCTCAATTTTTTTTCTAGTCAAAAAGTCTTATGCCAAGGCCCTGGCTGGGTAGTTCAGTTGTGTAGAGCATTGTCCCAATATGCCAACGTTGCAAGTTCAATCCCTGGTCAGGACACATACATAGAAGAACCAACCAGTGAATGCATAAATAAGTGTAACAACAAATTGATGTTTCTCTCTCTCCCCCTCCCTCCCTCCCTTCTTCATTTTCTAAAATCAATTAAAAAATAAAAATAAAAGTCTCAGGTCCTCATTCATGAAATGTACTCTGGGGGGTGGACAGGGCAGGGGAGAGCAAGGGGGGGGGCGGGGAATTGGGACAAGTGTAATTGAACAACAGTAAAAAAAAGAAAAAAAGATATTTTTGATACATAATTCTAGTGTGAAAGTTATTATCTCTTGGCCCATTGAAGAAAATAATCTAATGTTTTCCTTTATTCATACAGAGAACTCAGCTTTGTGTTTGTTGTTCCTTTGAAAATAATGTCTTTATTTTCTCACTATATAAAGGTCTATTTTGTCTTCCATGTTCTACAGTTTCACTATGATGTGTCTGTGGGTAAACTGTCTTTCCTCATAAGACAATTGGTTATTTGCTTTTTAATCTGTTAGTCTTTCTGAATCTGTGAACTGGAAAATCCTTAACCCCTTTCTCTGTGAATATTTTTCTATTTTCTAATCTACTATCTTTTTGACTTAGGGGGTCCCACACAGTATTACTTAGTATTGACCTCTGTTTATTCCTTATTAATTTACTCACTTAGCAATGTCATTTTTAATGAAATTAAAATACGGATTTCTAGCCCTACCACCTTTTTCAGGGAGTGAGTTGGTCAGAGTGAAAACTAAGTCTACTCAATGATAGAAAATTTAGGTTCCCTAACAAGATTTTTATTTTAAATTATTTTAAATAGGAAAAACACAAAATCCCAACCCTCAGCTCAATTCTTGCTTAATCTACCTCCAACCATGTGTGTGCTAACAGCCATCTTGCCAAATGCCCTTTAATTGCCAAAGCAATTAAACCGTCAGCTTGTAATTAAGGTTTGTTGGTTAGAAAGGTGTTTTCTATTGCTTTTACCTTTTCCAGTATGTGAGATCTAAAAAGGAAAAAACAGGCGTCCTGTTAGAGCCTGACGCCATCTCTGTGTCTGAGCCATCATCTGACTGGTTACTGTAACAAGGAGACTGAGCTGGGGAGGCACTTGAGGTGGTACTGTGAGCATCGGAATCTGCAATAAAAACGGGAGAAAAACATTATAATTTCACTATATGCAATTGCAACTAAGCCTCAGCATAAAGCATTGTGAATCAATTAGCAAAAAAAGAAGTTATTTTCTATTCACTACTGATACTTAAAGATAGATATACTAACATGTTTCTAGAAGAAAATGAGGACATAAACTTCCAGGTAGATAAGAGCAGACATATTTCCCCCTATTCCTCCTGTTTTAATAAGTACAAATAAAAGCCCTGAACATTACATATAAAACAAGCCTAAAGACTCTGGAAGTTAACAACAGCTAGAGAGCTTGAGACCCAAAGAAGGTCATGGTAGTGAGTTCCCTAGTTTTTATGGGCTTTGTTTTTACCTCATGAATAGCCAACCCAGAAATACCTACAGATGCAGACTTAAAAAAAAAAGGAGAAGAGGAGGATGGGGAGGAGGAGGAGAAAGAAGGAAGGAAGGAAAGAAGGAAGGAAGGAAGGAAGGAAGGAAGGAAGGAAGGAAGGAAGGAAGGAAGGAAGTGAGGAAGGGGCTTGTTCTCTTGCCAAAGGACCAGGAAAAGGGCAGCCTAGCAAGGCCAGAAACTTTTATTAGACAATAACCACTCTACTCGGGCACACCACAGAAAAAACAGACCCCAGCCCTACCCCCCTCAGCAAAGGCCAAGTGGGGAAACTACGTTTCCATCCTCATGAGCGTGTTATGAAGCACCCAACCCTCCACCAGGGCGGTGTCAGGGGAAGCCTATTGAAGAGTCAGGACTTCCACTATGGCCCACCCAGGAATAGAGTCACCCCAATATGTGGGAGCCTTAACCCCCACCTCCACTTAGCAGCAATATGAACTCCTCCCACCTCAGATGTCAAAGGTGGTGGAGTGGAGAACTTGACTTGTAACACCACCAGGCAGTAACAAGGTGGTGCCCCTCCCCCACATCTAGTGCTGGAGGTGTGTCCAAAAAATCCAGTTAAAACAGAGGGATGTAGATAAGATCCAGAGTCTCCAAACATAATATTAAATGTCCAGGTTTCGATAAAAAAATCCTATCATATCTAATACCTAGAAGATCTCAAACTGAATGAAAAAGTAAGTAGATATTCAGACCAAAATGACAGAGATGACAAAATCATCTGATGCAAATTTCGAAGTAGCTATGACAAAAATGATTCAACTAGCCATAGGAACATACTTTAAATGAATGAAAACACAACCATAGCAAATATGAGGTCTCAGTTAAAATAAGAAGCTATAAAGAAAAACCAAGCGGAACTGAAATTTGAACTGAAAATATACAATAAATGAAATAAAAAGCTCAGTAGACGGGCTCAACAGCAGAATAGGGAGGATGGAGGAAGAATTCAGTGAACTGGAAGAATAAACAAAAATTACCCAACCTGAACAACACAGAGAAAACAAATGAATAGAGCCCTAGCTACCTGTGGGACTCTCACCAAAAACCTACACTCACGTCAGTGCAGTCATGGAAGGAAAGGAGAAAGAGGGCGAGGTGTAAAAGTATTCAAAGAAATATAATGGCTGAACACTTGCCAAATTCAGCAACATAAACCTATAGATTCAAGAAGCTGAGCACACCCCAAACAGGATACACCCAAAGAAATCAAAGCCAAGACATATAATTGACCTGAAAACTAAAGACGAAGAAAAATGACACCTTACAATAGATCCCAGTATCAAATAAAGGCAATTAATCAGATATAAGCAAAATAAGATTTAGTTAGTATTTCTGCCCTGAGAAGACTTCATATAAATTTCCAAGCCAGAAAGCAAATTTTTTGGTCGACAGTCACTGTGCTATAAGGCATTATGTGGCTATTCCACAGCAAGAGCAATGGCACAATGAGGGACTGAGCCAACCACACATCTTACCTTTAGCTAAAGACTATCACCCTCCCACAACTGGGTAGAGCAATCTTCCAATTCAGGGAACCAATCAAATATTTATTAAGTATCTACTAGACATCAAACCCTGTGTCATATCCTGCATGGAAAGAAACAGACTAAAGAAAACATTTTTAAATAGAGCTCACAAGTGTTTTGTATTAACAAAAGTTTGCATAAAACAGCATAAAGTCAGGTATCTAAAACAAAGAAAAGCACCATTAGTGTTCTAAGATGTTCGTTCATTTCTAATATACGAATAGCTTAACTTCTTAATAAAACAAAATCCTCAAGATTATCAGGCTTTAAAGAAAGAAGTCCACTGAAATGTTCTCAAATAATTAACAGCAGCAGTTAGCTCCATGCTGCTGAAGCAAACTCACTATCCTAGGAAGTACTTAACATCTATGAACCATCTGAGACTGCAGTTGTTCAACCATTTTCTACCTATAAAAATGATAATTTCATAAGGTTTAATCTGGTATCTGGGATACCAGGATACAACTTAATTATATACAAACACAGTTAGTAAAAAACAAAAACAAAAAAACAACAAAAAAAAAACCCAAAACAAAACTCTCTTCTAGAATGTATGTCTGGAAATTCGTCAAAGAACTGCAATTTTTAAAATTCAAAAACCAGGATTTGGAAAGGCACAAAGGAGTAATTAGATAGTGTGGCATGGAGTAGGTAGGTGCAATGAACAAAATTGTGGAAGCAGAACACACTATGCACACCAAGGCAACTAACTCAGGCCCAATATTCTTCTAAAAAAGAACCTTGGTCGGGTAGCTCAGTTGGTTAGAGTGTCATCCCGATACACCAAAATTGCGGGTTCTGTCCCGGGTCATGGCACACACAAGAATCAACTAATTACATAAATAAGTGTAACAACGAATCGATATTTCTCTCTTTCACTCTCTAAAAATCAGTAAATAAAAAATAAACTAAAATAGTCTTCCAAAGATTTGCTGGGGATTTTCAATTTTATTCTATATCAACCAAAAACCATTGCAGATTTTAGGAAGAAGGGTAAAAAAAAAAACAGCTGACATTTATATAGGCATGTTAAAAAAAAAAAAAAAAACCTTTTTACTTAATTATCCCCATTTCTCTGATTAGGAAATTGTGGTTAAATCAATGTTAAGTGACACCAGGGTCACATATTTGTGTCAAGAATAGTAACTCAAATCCAGATTTTCAAGCTCAACATCCAATCCTTTGGAAAGACTGTCTCAGGAAGAGGAATGCAGATCAGGTACAGGCAGGAGGCATGGAAGCAAATATATAACCAGAGGCAAGGAAGCCATTTAGAGGGTGATGGATAAAAATTCAAATATCTCAAAACTGTTTGGTAAATTGCACACAGGTGCTAGCAATTCACAATGCACCTGGGAAAACCCTGTTTAAATCTTAACTTCCAGAGCACACACATCTTACCTTTTCAAAGGGACTTATTTTTAAAGTCTCCAACCCCTCCACAACACAGCTTTACCATAAAAATCTAAAATTACACTGGACATATTCCCTAAGTAAGGAAAATGTTAGTCACTTATGACTGTCCCGGCGATTAAAGGGAGGAGCTAAGAATTTATGTGCAAATAATCAATTCCTCGAATCTGCAAGTGGTATAAGAAAATTACTATTTCCCAAATGTTTATTAAATCATCTAGTGATAATGGAAAGTAGTCTTTCTTTTTTTTCCCTTTGAGGTAGATGGTGAATAAAGGAACATATATAATTAAAACACATAAATTTGATTTTGTCAAAATATTTTACTATAAATGCATTAAAATATTTTAGTCAGATTAAGTAGAGTGGGGCAAAAGTAGGTTTACAGTTGTTCATATGGAAAACAATGCAATAATTAATAAATAATAATACGAGAAGTATACATTCTATTTCACACACTCACCCCTGTAAACCTACTTCCCCCACACTCTGTCTATCATTGGAATAACTATGGACTGATAACACCTATTTACTTGAGAGCAGAAAGTTAGGAGCAGCCCTGGAAACGCTTTGGCATCCTGAGATACTGGTTACACTGCAGCAGACAGCAGGACAATACAGAAAGAGCACAAAGCTTTCAAGTCAGACAAACAGGAGGCCAAATTCATCTCTACCATATACTAAGTGACCTGGGTCAAGGTTAAATCACCCTTCTGTACTTGTAAGGCTAATCTCTCAAACTGAAATCATTGAGATAGTTACGTATGTAAAGTGCTGGATAAATCTACCACAGGGCTCACAGAATGACAGTTATCCTTCCTTCCTCAGTCTACCTGATCAGTAGAGACTTAACTGTCTTTCTCCATTGCTCCAAAACAAGCACTGATTAATATTTTGTCTGACAGGGTCCTATAAATTTTTTTTAATCCCAAAACTTCCAATGCAGGTCATAACCCATAGCTACAATGCTGGAAAAGCTCTGATAACACAAAGTTTATTCCTAACCCATGTGGCCACAGTATCTGGCTTGATCTGAACTATAATTAGGGAGCCAAACTGGACTAGCCCATTTATAGTTTATTTATTCCACTTATATGAACACTATGGGAACATTTATTCCACCTATGTGAACACATTTTCACTGCAGAAATACTAATGTGTTTGATTAAATAGCACTCCCTCAGACCTCCCACCTGGGAGTGGGGGGAGGGGTGATACAAATGCTACATAATAACATTGCATGTGCTGCATTTCCTTTTCAGCATCTTAAATCTAAATTCCCAAATACAGAAGTACCACTACAGATGTCCTACCCGCAACGACGTCCTGTAAGAACTTATGAACCAGGTATTAATTTGTCATTCCTTTGCCATTCTATCAGCCCACACAACACACATTGCCCCCTAAACCAAAGTCCTGAGGCTAGCTTTACTGCAATACATGAGTTATGATTTCTAAAGTTACTTTCCTGGGCTTTGGTCTCAGATTGTCCACTAATTATTTATGTACCTTTCTGCACATCGCTAGGCCTCCATATCCTTATGCATAAAATATCAAGTAAACAGGATTGAAAATGTATTCTTCTAGAAAATTAAGATGTCAATAAAGAGATCAAAGTGGTTTCAGCACAATTTGAAGAAGTGGCTAGCTAGTGAAAGAACTTTCATGATATCAAAATCAAGGCCAATGTTGCTGGATTTCAGAGAAATGAGACCTCTAGCAACGATCCCTTCCAACACTTTTTGTCCCCTAACACTCTTTTTAAAAACAGCAATATATATATGCCATTCCCAGGCAAAAAACAAAACAAAACACGTATTCGTAAGTATCCCGGTTTCAGTATCAAACTTACTGTGACGTTTAAATTCCTTCTGCAGTTTGCTGATCTGGTTGCTTTTTATCCTGTTTCCAGATAGAGTTTTCACTTTCTTTGGTTTCAGTGTAGTCTTTAGACTGGGTCCTGCCCTTGCATCTACCACCTGGAAGAAAATACTGAATATTTAATACCATTTAAAAAATGACACCTCTGTTCTTCTTTGGTTCATACAAATGCCTATTTGAAGTAGCCCAATTTGAGAACCAGTTTTCTACTAGAGTATTTGAGAGTCCATGTATACTTTGTTTTTGATCATCATATGGAATTAAAATATAGTTTATCTCTAACCACTGCGCTATATACCTGAAACCGATACAAAAGTATATTGAATGAAAACTGTAACTGAAAAATAAAATTTTAAAAATATAGCATATCAAGGAAGAATAAATAGTTATTTATATAGTAGGGTTTTGTTTTTGTTTTTTGTGGGTTATTTTCTGAAGTAGGTAATAGCAGGAGTCTGCTGGACAAAAACTTTAGATTTATACATGGTACGAATGACCCAAGTAGGTTAAGAAAAATCAAATCCACAGAATGTTTTGCAGTTACTTTACAAAAAGCTTTCATATACTCTTGATTTTATCTTCACCACAAAGCAGTAAAGGGGGCTATTTTTGTTAATCCTATTTTAGGGTAAAGGAAGAGAAATTAAATTATTTACTTTGTCTTATTTCACTAAGCTAGTAAAGTGGGCAAGGGTGAGTAGGGAGGAGGACAAGGTTCACATCAAGGTGTTCAGACCGAAGCTTTAATAAGCTCTTTCCACTACAGACCCTAACTCCCTGAGGTCAGTTACAAGATGGCAATGGGAAGTCCTCCCCGAGTCTAGCATGCACATTGGTTCAGCCCTGTATGGTCCCTTTTCTCATGCATTAATTCAGAATCACTAGTTGCAGATTTCTACCCTTATGTAGAAAGGTTGCCATTACCTTCGAAATCACAATTTGGATCTTTTCCAGGTAAGGTATTAAAAAAAACTCATTATTTAGTAAGTTAACGGGCCCACAGAAACATTATCATGATAACGTAAGTCACCAAAGGATAGTGTAAAGTATGAGAAAAAAGGTAACGAATAAATGACTGCCTACTTAAAAACAAATATGTTGTATAAATGTCAAAATCTTCTAAAAGGTAGCAAACATAAGAATTAAATAAGACTTAAGTGTTGTTCTGGTAGTCAAAAATATTTTATAAAGATTTCTAGAGGCATTATAAAGTGAAAGGTAAGAACACACATTTATATACCAGTTTGATCCCAACTAGCCTTAAATACAGAGAATAATACCTTTCATCTAATTGAATCAATACTATGTTATACTTCGTCTCATTCAGTTCCTACAACACCTCTGAGAGAGCAATTATCTTTATGCTCTATAAATAAATGTAACTTGCCCGAAGTAGGTGATAAAGGCAAGATTCAAATCCAATTCTGATTCAGAAACTTATACACTCATTATACCAACGTAAGTTAGGATAAACATCATCCTAAGAGATGAAAAAAGGATCCACACACATCTGATTCACTTTAGGAATTTCTGGGTTAAACCTAAAAATATGTGAAATGTATATTGTGAGTCTCTGAAATGCGGATATTGGATACAGACTTAGGGAAATGCCATGCTGAGTTATTTTGTTTCCAAACAGGACAAAATGTGAAGTGATTCTATCTGAGCAGCAACTGTTCTTTATTCTTTTCATACTATATTTTTTCATCCTAGGGACACATTACTTCCTAAATTAGGGAGGAAACTAATGTTACTGTAAATAGAGCAAAGGTATAATTGAGAAAGATGACAGATGCACTAACATGATTCCAGTTTTTTTTTGATCCTGCTGGCAATTTCTTCCATCTTTTCACAAGCAGGACACAGGCATTACAGATGTCTCCTGAACGAGTCTCATGCAACCTGATAAGAAAACAATCAAACCTTTATTGGTTTCCTTTACATTAAAGAATTCAGGCAAGTACACTCCTTTTAGAAAAACACTATATCCATTTATAGTTTGTAGATGCTACTTCTAATCATCATGGATGGGGAAGTTCCATTGTTTCTGTAGTATATTTCAGAAATAGAATTAACTTCTAGATCCAATGAAATCAAAATTTTATAGGCTGCAATTTGGTCATTTTAAAATAATGTTTTTAAAATTTAACAAATACCAAACTTTAGACCTAAGAGGAGATCGTGGTCACCATGATTTTAAACAATACTGTACAATTAATCTTCCTTGAAATTTCATAAGCAACAAAGTGCCACCCTTAAAAATAATGGGCAATGGTATTCCAGTTTCACAACAAACAAAACCAGAGACACTATAATTTTTAAAAAGTGATTATATCTGCATAAGGGGAAATAATATCTATAAGGCTAGTCACCAAGCTGTTCTTTAATTATATCAGAGGAAATTTCATTTACATTTGTCCTGTATTAAATACATCAGAAAAATACTAATAATATTTATTAAGCACACAATCAGAAATGAAGGCCTTAAGAGGAAAATGTCATTTATAAATACAAAATCCAGAATTAACAATAAATAACAAATATGTTTGTAAGAAAAACAATGTGGTGAAATTAATTGCTAACATGGGAACTAGTTCAACATTAAATATTTTATTTTATCCAAGGATTTGTTGGGAAGTAAATTCTACTTCATTCAGCAAAGGATTGTTGTCGAAAGATAATGAAGAACAAAAGTATAAAATAAATGATAACATACCCTGACAGGTTTCAGGGTAAAACATTGTCTTATTACTATCCTCAGAAGGTTGGGTTAAAATATATTTCTATAATTTAGAAAAACATACAAAAACCCCAGAAAACTACTTTAGAATAACTATTATAAGAGAGAATAAGGGTAATTTTTTTAAAAAAATCTCTTTATACATACTGAAGTCAACAGTAAAAGGGTTTGTTTGGTTATAACTTTGAAGGGTTTCACAATTAATTTGGTAGTTTCTCATCTGAAAAAAGGTAGGATGTCAGTATCTTTGATTGGTTTTAAGAGCAAGAGCCTTAAAAGAGCCTAGATTAGAATGTAAGTGATTATCACATTGCTCGAATCACCTTGTTTGGAAATATTTCCGTATGATGTGATCTCTTTCACTCTAAGAATGGTAAAAACATCAGATACTCTTACCCAAAACAGCTCTGGAAGTCCTTTTCGTAACGTTTACTGTCAGTGAATCGAGAACTGGAGGACTTAGCTCTGCAAATACAGCAGCCTTCTATACTTCGGTACATCTTTGGCTTGTGAAAACCAAACATCTTTTCTTCTGGGCAGTAGTCTGTAAAGCCAAGGGAATTGACACAGCTTTGCTGAGGGCTATTAACAAGAAACCATTAAAAGAGAGAGCTCTCTGATCCACCCCACCCCCAGCAACTTGGTATTACGCAGCCAAGCCAGAAAGGAGGGCTCTGGGAGAAGACCCTCCAGGGTCTTCCTCCATTCTTGGAACTAGCATAACAAGTGAATATAACACACTGAATAGCTCAGTTATTTAACAAGGCCACTATCATCTCCTTCTACCTTCCTGGCAAACACTCATTCTAAAAATAGGGGAGAGGAGGTGTTTTTAAAAAATCAAGTTTTAAGTAGAAAATACAACAAATTCCACAATCCTGTAAGATGATGGAATCATACACAATGAACGACATGTCTTAAAATGTAAGCTAATGCACCACCCTTTATTTTGTACCTTTGCATTCATGTGATTCCCCTGTGGGGAAGTTTTCAGCATTTACCATGATCACTATTTGATACTAAGCATACAAGTAATGCATCCACCCACACCACTTTTGCCCTATGGGAAATGAGAGGGGATTTCTTCTGCGATATATGGGAAGTTCTAAGCAAACAAGTAGGACCTGAATTGAAACTACTGAAAGAAGGATGTAAAATTCACAAAAATCCAGGGTTAGAATTTAAGAATTTTAGTGTCATAAGCCCAGGCTGCCTGACTACTGGACAGCCTCAGTTGCTACAGAGGTTTTTGGAGTTCATTTGTGAGGCACTGTTCCTGAGAACAGCAATAGTGGGAGGCAGACGTTCGAGAAATGTAGAGCGAGATAAACTGTGATTCCAATAATCAAAAAATCTTAACATCAAGCAAGGACGGAAGAAACAGCTCTAGGGCTAGATATAGCAAAAATGTAGCTGGCAGTAAATATGCACCTAGAATAACTTAAAAAATATACAAACAAAGGGCCAGCTTTACCAGAACATCTGGACTAAGAGAAGTGATGAAAAGGCAGTGAATATAGAAACTAAACCCCAATGGACAAGTCCAGAGGGTGTGGGTGTGTGGATGAGACCAATTACAAATTATCACAAAAGCAACATATAAAGAATCAGTAAGAGAAAATTATTAATATGAATTAGGTTTGTGCCTAGAGTTTTAGGACTTATAGACATAGAACACCATCCTTCTTTTAAAGTTCTTTCAGAAATAGTTAAATATATGCATAGAACAAAAACTTCAGTGTTTGTCTTTGAATTATCTCTTGCCTGACCCCATTTAATTAATTGTGGTTCGTATACCAGACCAAATATTTATGAAAGTGATTCAGAGAAATAACCAAATATCCAGGCTTTTTGTTTGTGGGTATGTGAAATTGCAAGGTTCTGAAATACAGAGGATATACAATTTGTTTTTAAGAAAGTATTTTATTAGCAATTAATTAGCTCAACACTGAGGCTTTCGTTTTAAACAAAGATTACTGGTCATCAAATAGTTCCTTCATGTTTTTGTTGGTGAGGGCCAGAGGCAAAGGAGGGAGATGGGAGGGGACATTTCAATAAGTCTAAACAGTTACTTCAATTTAAGAATTGTTAAAACAAGGAAACAAAATATTCTTAATTGTTCTTAAATTAAATGCTTGGGAATTTGATTTTTTTTTTTAGAGAAAAAAACGAGGAAGGTGCTCTGTCTACAGCAGGAAAATGTATAGATAGTGAGGCCTGTGAAACAAGGCAGGTATTTTTCTTCAAAATAACAAAGCTTCATGACAAATGAAAAGAAAATGGCCTCCTGAAGTAAACCGGTCTGTGTTGGTTGCTTTGAAACAATGTCAAATGACACAGGATTATAGAAACTTTTAAAGAAGTGCTAAGAAAGTCTAAGTTATTGCTTTACTTTGTATTTTTATAATCCTGTTTTGAAGCAAAAACATAATATAGCTCTTGCTAGTCCTCATACCACCCTGTGGGCTCTTCTAAGTCCCTTAACACCATTACCAACAAGGTCAAAAGTCCACAATTCCTCTTACAGTCGCCAGCTTCATCAATAGCTCTAGGAAACTTCAGCCTCCTTTCTCAACAAGGACAAAGGAAGTACAGCAGAAAGGCCAGTTCATTCCAATAACACACGGACCAAATCCTATTACAAAAGATAGATTCCTATCTATATCCTCACAATCCCTCTTCCTCCCACAAGTAAACATGCCATCAAAACTGTACAGCATTCAGATCATCTCCAAGATATGAATTACCTTCAATGAGGCTGGATTTGACCAAGAAGCCATAGTTTGTGCCAGTTATCAGGCTGGTGAGCTGTTGTTAAGGAACGCAAGGGTTACCCAGCATTCTAGACTGAGGAAATACTGAGGCTTTCTTTTTCATCAGCTGCTACTGTGAATCAAGTGTTCAGTTCCAATTTATTTTATTTATTTATTTTGGGGGGGGCGGTCAATGGGGATCTCCACAAAACTTACCCAACAGTAACCCCTGCAAGATATTTCACTCTTCAGTTTGAAGAATATTTTTCTTAAAACATCGGGGAATATAAAATAGCTTGGTGTCTTCTGATTGACGATCCTTTATGCAGCTCTGTGAGCTTATGTCTGTCCTGACAAAATTCTTCTGCCCAAACATCCAAGAGGGATCTAAATACTAGGGTGCATCCTCTTCTCAGAAGTATTAAATACAGTAGTGTCAGACACTTGTCCTAATGCGACACAAGTAGCACGTGAAACTTTTAAAAGATTATTTAATAAACCTATTAAACCATTTCTGCACTTATTTCTGTACTTGAGAGGCACCTGGGAATCTGCAGAGAATACACAGGGGTTTCACTTTGGGCTTTGTTTACAGCAACCCCATTAAGCAGAGATTGGTGTTTAACCATTTTGAGCTTTCGGGAGCCCAGAGATGAACTGAAAGAATTTTCAGAAACTCTACGGACCCACTAACGCTTTAAAATAACAAAACAAACAAACAAAATAACCTACCTGATCTCTGGAAGAAAACTAAGAATACAAAATGGCTGTGAAACCAAGTTACTCTGTGTATTGAGAGAGAGAGAAACAGACAGAATGAGCAAGAAGGTGGGCGTGGCACAACTTGATCACAAACTTGGGATTTCTGTATTTCAACAAACCTCATGGTTCTTTAAAATACTCCTTTCTTAGTCCTGCATTTGTGCAATATTAAATGATTTCTCCAGCATAACCTACTTTATTTGTCCCAATGACACTGTCAGCTATTAAAAGTATTTGCAACTTTTGCATCTTTCTCAAGGGCATCACATCACTCAACGCCCTTGTTTTAATAGAAGGAAGTTGACACTACCTGCTTCCTAACTGAGGAACAGTTACACAGGAGAATGGACCCCATACAATCTCACCTTTTTGTGTGAGCCCGGGGAAAGAAAATTAAGCTTTGAGATAAAGCCAAAAATAAGGAAAAACTTAAAATGCTGATTAAAAACTGCCATTTGTCGTCTAAACTTAAGATAGCGGTGATGGTTACAAAACAGTAAATATACTAAAAGCCACTGAATTGTACTCTTTTAGAGTAAATTTTATGGTCTGTGAATTATATCTCAATAAGCTTGTAAAAGTAAAAATAGGGGAGCAGGGAGAGGTGAAGGAGCAGGGATAAGGGTAATGGAAATTGACCTGACCTGGGTGGTGAACACAAAACATAGTGCACAGATTATGTGTTCTGGAATTGTGTACCTGAAATCTGTAAAATTTTGTAACCAGTGTCATCCCAATAAATTCAACCAAAAGGAAAAAAATAAAAATAGACTGGGCGAGGAATCCTTCTGTCTTTATTCATCTTTGTAACCTCAACATCTAGAGTTGTGCCAGTTACTCAGGAGATAGATACTCAAACTTTTTTGAAAAGCAGTCATTTGTAGAGTACTTCATGTTGTTTGAAGGACTTTCACTGACATTATTTCTTTGGCTACTGTCAGCCAAATAGCCACAAAATTTTACAACACTGCAATAGTTAAAAACAAGCCAGTCACACTAAAATTACTGTTCTAATTTAGTTCAGTCTCCTGAAATTAAAAAGATTAAAGTTAATAGCTAAGTCAGCAAAAATCCTAAGAGAAATAACTGATATGAACAAAGTATTATACAGACAACAAAAAGTGAATTTAAAATGTAACAATTAATTTGAAATGTTTTGATTGATTTGTTGAGGCTTCTTCTACTTTAACACTGCAGTTTCACCTGAATCTAATGACCAATGTAATAAAATGATGGTGAATGCAACCTTAGGGTTGAGGCAAGGAAAAGGTGAGGTAACCAATGTATATCAAAGATACAAAAGAGTCAACTTGAAAATAATCTAATAAGATTATGAAGCCAAAGATCAGGGCCAATGTCATACATTACATTAAATTCGGCACACATAAAGTCAGTTTACTGAGTATAATATAACGTAAATGGGACAGAAAAGGAATCTTCACAGCAATAGCCAAAACTGAAGGGATAGTATTCAAGGGAAGCCTTATGATAAGTAATTCTAAGCTTTAAGATGATCTCTTATAAATTTTCAGCCCTTTAAAAGAATGGAGTATATCTATGAGAACGCAGTGTATCTACGACATTTGCAGGGAACCTGCCAAGATATTTTGTCTTGTACAGTAAGCAAGTTGAGTAATAGTTACACAATTCCATAGCGTGTTTTTAGAATGAGATCTCAAAGAAACTGGCATTTTGAAATCGGTTTTTAAAAACTAGTAACTAGTGGTTGCGTCTGAGGGATGCAAGAATGAAGATTACTTTCACTTTATTTCCTTCTATATGGCTATTGTTTTTTAATTCAAGAGCACCATGCCCCCAAACCTTAAGTTACTGTCACACAACTTTGACATAAGATGAATCTGAAAAAGCTTAAACCAAGTTCCTCAAAGACATACAGATGGAGATATACATTAGGAAATATATTCCACAGGACAGAATACAGAACAGACTAGTAACATCAGAAGAGACATAGAGCAGAATGGGAAGGAAACTGCTGAGAAGAGACAAGCAAGTTTAGTAAGTGGGAGGAGGCAGTGGTGAATAAAGACAAAAGGAACCACGCAACCAAAGACAACTTTGAAGTGAAGGAGATTCATTTCTTTAGAGCTGAACTTTAAATGACAGGATGATGGGAAAGGAAGAGTAGTAAACACGAAAATACACTCTGATCAAAAGCGGTGAGCAACCTTCAGTTGCTCTAATTGCCAGTGCTGCCCTCCACACTATTTTAGTCAACGGTATACTATCTTTAATCACATATAAATACAAGATCCAGTAAACACTAACAGTGTAACTAGAGCAACACTCTTCACAAAGAGTCAAACAGGACTAAGTGTTTTTGTGTTCTCTGGCTGCTAGGCCACTTGGTTGTGGTATTCCTCAACAATGAGACCTGGTTGGTTCATCGGCACTTAAGGAAAGCCATGGAACAATTAAACACTATTGTTGCCTTTTACCTGCTCCTAGATCCCAGTCCACATCCCAGGATCAATCAGTCACTTGTGAGGGACAAATTTAAGCTTGCCTGGAGAAAAACTGAAAGGGAGGTGGTAGACCCCACTTGTTTCCAATAGCTTCTCCAAACATGTACTCAGTCTTTGAGAAATTATATGGTAAAGTTTTTATAACTGTAGCTGCCTATGGAATTCACACTTTGCAGAAAAGCCCAGAACTCATCCTACCAGGAAATGTAACTATTGTGAATCTGGTGAAAAGAGCACTGTAATTACTTAAACTGGAGTCTCTTTCTGCTTTTGTCTTTATAACTGAAAAGGAAGTCATTTCTAATTTTATTTATCCCTCTGTGATAGTAAAGTGAAGTCTCACTTTTACTTTCCAGGGATGCTGTGAAGCAAGAGTATGAAAACATCAGTCCATGCGTGCCATTTATTTTCTTGAGTTTGAGACTTGCACATTTTAGAAACATAGACTCTATCCTAGGCCATACACAACAAGTTAAACTGAAGGTAGAATCATGATTTCCAAAGGTTTTCTTTTAAGCCAAGGTCTTTGGGAAAAGGGGAACTTTAGCCTTTTCAGGGAGACTTAAGGTTATGAAAGTGGGCATACTCCTTCCTGTGAAGCTGTTCTCCCATTATGAAGACTGACAAAAATGTTAAGAAATGGGGTATGGTAGCATGCACCTAGTCTAACCCAAACCTCAGGGAGGTTCCTTAAGCTCTCTGACCTTTCCATTTCCATAACCTTCTGAATAGTATCTGTAAAGCACCAATACCAGGGCTGGTGGTCCTGTCCTTTAAATGCCCTGAACTGATTACTAATCTCGTCTTTGAGGCATGCTCTTCCGTATTCACCTATCTTGGTCATCATTCATACAGTCACATAAAAATCTGGAAGTCAACTGGACTGGACTCTCCCTTCTCATCCTAGGCGTGGCCCCCACTGTATCCTCTATGAGGTCCTCGGAGATTCTGCTTCTTCCTTCATTTCTCAGGTTTCCCGTACCTTCTAATTCCTGCCTCTTTGCCTCCCATCACGGTGCTTGAACTCCTCTCAGGGTCTCACAACTGACTTCTCTGCAGTCTTCAAACAGGTGGTATCTTCAAGTTCAAGTATTAATCATCTCTTCCAAGGGACCAACACTGGCTTCCAGATAATATCTAAAATCCTTGGCAAGAAATTCAAAGCTTTGCAGGCTGGTCCTGCCTTCCCGCTGCTCCCAGCCTGGAATTCTGATATTCCAGGGTGTCAAACCAACTTTAATAACTAGTAACACATCTCAGGCTGTTACTTCTGTCTGAGATGGTCTCTCCTCCACCCCCTTAACCAGGGAAATTCTTTCTTTTTACAAAACCTTTCCAGTCCTTTATTAGAGCATCTAACACACAGGATTTCACATATTTATTTACTGTATTGTCTCTTCTACTCAGTGGTAAACTGTTGCAGGGCAGGAACTAAGTCTTAAGTTCCAGCCAGTTGCTGACTGTGTGTAGCACAAAGAAACAGGTGAAATTTGCTAATTACCCCAAGAGTAATGTAGCAAAAACAGATCTAAACAATATTTTTAAGGGTATGGAATAAGAAAATGTATCCACAATAAAGATGTGTATTTAAAAACTGATGTTTTGAATAGAGGCATTTTTCTTCAACATTTAGTCTTTAGACTTTTTGTAGGAAAAATTTTTTTTGAGGCTTATAGATTTCTAGGAAATGTAAACCAAATCAATTACTTTTCTTACAGAAGATTAATAGTAAACAATTCAACATTTTCACAACTGGTAAAAAAAATATTTCTTGCTTGTTTCAAACAGGCATATAGGCAAGAAGGGGAGGTTAAGAGGATAGTGGGAGAAATGACCTCAAAATGAGAGCTATTTAAAGTCAGCATACATTAGCATCAACCCAATTAAAATAACGTTAAGCCAAATCAAACCTAACAACTGAATACAAGCTAGCAATACACTGTTTTAGTTGACTGCAACATTTGTACTTGAATGTGTAACAGTAAATGTGTCTGTGACTCCAGTGTTTCCGATGCAAAAAGAAAACCTCTCTCCCCAGAAAACAACTCCCTTCTTTTGGACTAGATGCATTTCCAGATTATTTCCATAATACAGAAAACCTTAGTTGCAGTCTGAATTAGAGGAGAAACTGGAGAACCAAAAGACAACATAATATTCTCAATGTATAAACCCCCGAGTCAAAACAAAGTGCAGAAAATCCAGGACACTCTCATGGACAAGAGAAATCAGGAAGGAATAAAATGGCATTTCCTAGATTTCCACAAGCCTTTTTAACATAAAATGGTTGAATCGGAACTGGATAGGGAACCAAGAGCTGACTGCAGTGTCTTCCCAGAACCCGTTACTGAAGGTTGGGGAGGGGGCCAGACACTCATTCTTTCCACTAGCGTTTGCTGAGTCCAGCAAGGTACCTGACTGCATCCTCATTTTTGTGTTCTGTAAAATGTCTACTTCCCAAAGTTGTAAGGATAACCACAGCCAACACTTACCTAGCACATAACTTGCTTAATAATTTACAACTCTGCGAACTAGGCATTACTGCTACTTTGCAGATGAGATAACTAGACCACAAAGTGACTTATTTAGGACAATCAGGATTTCAGAATTTAGGCATTTTTAACCCCAGAGACTTCAGAACAACTAACCTAGTACCTCAGCAAATGTGTTTCCTTCCTTCTCAGCCAATTATATTCCTACCTTCTCTTAAGGAAAAAAGAAAACGTCATATTTTTAAAGCAAACCTACTAAGTGCCTGGCATGGTAAATTAATGTCCTCATAACAGCTTAAGAAGTTGGTTTAGATTTCAAATAAGCTTAAGCTTTTCCCAGTGAAAAATTTATTTTACATTAAAAAACTCATTCCCAAACCTGCCTGAGTTTGAGTGCCATGAGCCAGGTGTTCTCAGGGTCTGATTTCGACCCTAGGAAAAAAAAATGACCATCCAGGTTCCAGATCTACAGAACTAAGAATACTGTACAATAGTCCTGACCGGTGTGACTGAGTTGGCTGGGCATCGTCCAGCAGAGCAAAAGGTCACTGGTCCCATTCCAGGTCAGGGCACATGCCTTGGTTGCAGTTTGGTCTCCTGACCGTAGGTGAGGCGACCAACTGATGTTTCTCTCTCCCTTCCCCTCTCTTAAAAATAAATAAATAAAATTTCAAAACAAAACTGTGCAACAGCAGTCTTGAGGTTCTAGAACATACTTAAACATAATTGAACTTTTGATCTCCAACCTCCTGCAAAATTAATGCAAAAAGGGAAGGCAGCAGAGATCTTGTCTGTCTTTCCCACTCAAGTCATTCATCTTGAAACACCAAATCTCCATTGAACATATCATGTAATATTTAAAACATCTGCTATTTACTAGTTTTATTATGGCCTATATATTGTATTTGTAATTTCCAGGATATTAAAATTCTAGCCGGAACTTGACTATAAAATACTAATTAGGAAAAAATAAACAAAGAAATTCAGTGTATTTGTAAAGCACTTCATATGAATTTTAAACACATGACCCAGAGAAATAACTGTCCAAAGGAAGCCATAAAGTAATTAAATACAAAGTTTTTTCATTTTTGACATGCTCTCTCAGAAATATACTGTTACTGATATTGTTTGCCTTTAGGCATTTGTAATTTAGTTAACCAAAACTTGGGAGAAATGTATTTCTTTAATAACAGAACAATGAAAAGCAGAGAATAGATTTCAGTTTCTACAGTTTTTGTGTGGGCGTGGCTTGTTAGGATATTATTTTCCGGTAATGACCACCTTTAGATTCTAACCCTTAAACGTGATATAAATGCAGGAGAAATCAGGAAAGAATCAACAGACATGGTACTGCTTATCATATGTCTAGACTGCAGGCAAACCCCAAATACCAAAGAAGCATCCATGTGTCAAACCAGCATAATTTTTGAGCTATGCCTGGGGCCACATACCAAAAAAGAAAAAAAAAGTTAGCTCGAAAAGAAAACCTAACAGGGGTAACCAGAAGGTCAGCCTAGAACTAAGAAGAAGCTAGCAGAGAGAACGCGCGGAGCTAGCCATTAGCCTGCAGTCATTCCACTGAGCCGTTTCCTCCCCACCCCCACACAAAATCTCCAAGGCCCAACTCGTTGTTTGCATGCTTCTTCAAGGTCATCCTAAGATAACGCGGTGAACAATCACCAAACAGTGAGCCAAGCATACCTTTAGGGCCAAGAAATAATCCCCCTTCCCCAAATCATTATAAAAATATTTTAAATGCCATTAGGCTTTCTCCAACTTCACCAGAAACAAACTCCCATCATTTAATTTAGATTGAGCAACTAATAAATAAACGTGTTCGGTTTTGCAACGTAAATTATTAAAAGGCTTTTCAAGTCTGGCAAACTCCAGTTCAAAAACAGGTGCTTGTTGACAAGGTCAAATACATTTTTTTAATTATTAAAAGAAAAAGGGGAGAAAAGTTTTCGTAACCTTCGTTAGGACAACGTGAGGCGTTGAGTGTAAAGAACGCTGGGGTAAAACTGTCTCACACAGGGTCCATGTTTGGCGGAACCGTAATTCCTAGTCTAGCAATGAAGGTTAGAGGAAAAAAATAAAAACAAAGAAACCTACGAGGGTCACAGTTACCAGAACAAACTCTGCACCGCCCTACCACCCCAAGAAACCACCCCTCCAACCAAAACAAACCGCGCCCCTCCCGGCTCCCCCTCCCACACGTAAACACACAAAGAAAACAGGAGCATGCACAGTTCGGACACAGCCTTCACTTCCCTTTGTAGGACAACCGGGGACCCCGAAACTTCCCCACGGTGGTTTTTCTGCCTGTCGTCGGGGCTCTGTGCCCTGAACGTGCGGGCCAAGGCTCAACTGAAGCGTGGGGGTGCTCGCCGCACTCTCCGGTTTCTCCGAAAGCAGCGAAATGCCTCCCCCCTCCGCCCCCGGCCGTCGTCCCCCGCCCCCACGGCCTTCGCGTGTCCCCAAACTGCGCCTCCCCCTTGGGCATGGAGTGACCACCAAGAAAGAGGCACCAAGGCAGCAAACAGAAACGGTCCCCGGTGGATCTGTTGGTAAATAAAACAACTCGGATCGGGCAGAAAGTTCCAGTGGAGAGCTGCCGGCTGGGGCGAGGGCAGCGGGAGGCGAAAGGCGTCCCTCCTCCCTCACCTGCGCCGGAACAACGGGCCCCCGCGCCCGCCCCGCTGCCCGCCCAGCCCGGCGCCTCCCGCAGGCCGCGCCTCCCGCAAGCTGCGCTGCTGGGGCTTGTTCCTCCTCATGGCTTTGCCCTGACGTAATTCAAACATGGCAACAGTTCGACTTCAAAGGCGAATCCATAGACCTCCCAGACACAGACTCCGGGCCGCGGGCAACGGGCCGAGAACTCGGGGCCACGCTCTCCCGGCCCCTCGGCCGTCGCAGCACCGAGCGCTGGGGCGAAGGCTTCGGGACCCCGAGATGCTGCCTCCCTCGCCCGGCCGCCCGGGGCGCGGAAGCCCGCCACCTCCCCGCGCACCAGCATGGCACCTCACACAAGTAGCTCCGCCAAAGTTTCCCCGCGAGGGGCTAAGGGACAAAAGCCCCTCCCGAAACTCGCCCGAACTTCGGGGGGCCGGGCCCGCAAGGCCCTCCGCCCGCAGCCGCCCTGAACGCCAGCGGGGCCCGCACGGGCACATGGAGCTCTTTGTTTTCTGTCCAGCCGGGTGCTGCCTACGTGCAGCATCAGGATGTCGGCTTGTTTCCCAGGGGCGAGCCACTTGACGATCACCCCGGCAAGGCTCCTGACCCCGCGCCCCTGAAGTCAGGAGCCCTGTCCTCCCGTCCTCCCCTCGGCTGCAGGCCCCTTTCATCAAAGTTTTGTCCTGTCCTTGAAGAGAAACGGCCGGATTACCCGCCCCGCACCGGCCCAGAGTTGGCTACTTTCACTCTGCTTTTTAAACTGGCAAGACGCCATCATCAGCAAATCACATTGTCCTGCCGGGCGGCCGGACACGACAGCGACCGCATCTCACTGCTGACCTGGAGCTGGACACTCCGACGAAAACCAGGTCGCAGCCCCAAGCACGTGGTCTGTCATGTTCGGCACAAAAAGCGGTGCCCTCCGGAGTTCTCTCATCCCCTGGGCGCAGACAACGCAACGACCTCCATCCCCAAGTCAATGGGCTCCGACTGGCCATCTTAAGCCACACACGGTCGCCCTAGAAAGCCCTCGCTGTGGCGTCCACAGCTACGCTACAGGTGAATAGATTGCGAACTAAAGTTGAGACTCCACAGACACATCCGACACCAGCGCTGCTTGGGCGCGGTCCGGAGGGGAAGAGGCATGTGGGAGCCGGGGCTGTTTCCGAGCGGCCGCGTGTTGCTCTCATTGTCGCATCCGCATCCCTCCGGAGTTCGGCAAACAACGCCACGCCGCGTGCACTCGGCAACCCCGGCACCGACCCAAAGGCCGATTTAAAACCCCTCACGCCCGTCAGTTTGCAAGTCCACGGCAACTTAGTTTTGGAGCGAAGGGCGTTTAGAGT